GTCTGGGCTCTATGGAGGTCTAGAGCTGGTTCCCCCATCTTCAGTTGTTCTCAGAATAGGATCAGGGCTTCCTTTCCACTAGGACCAAGCATCTGAGCACCAGTGAGGTGCACCAGAAATCCCTCTGTTTTATAGCCCAGCTGCTGGATTGCTAACCATGTGGCCTTTTAATCATTTTGGAGCTGGGCTTCCAGCTCTTTGGGTTGCCTCAGAGTTCCTGTTTTCCTCTAGCCTCAGCCTGGCTCTCTGCCCGTGGACTGTCTCTGCCGTCTCCTGCCCATCCCAGCCTTGAGAGGCTGCGTTGCATTTATGAGCCTTGTGTACTTTGTTGGGGAGGCAGAAGACTTTCTCTCCCCTGCACTTGCCTGTAGCCTTCAACTCCTGTTCCCTCGTACTTGGGTGAAGTTCTCCACTCCACAGGGAAGAGTTGGGCGGGTCACTCCACCAGGGATGAAAGCAACGGCTGGTTTCTTTTCTCCTGGACAGTTTATCCTTGTCTAGAATGATTCCACCTAGGTTTCTTTGTGTGGTCTGCAATCTGAAGGATTTTATAAGATCCGTTGTGTCTGCAATCTGAAGGATTTTATAAGATCCGTTGTGTCATTAGTGTGAGAGCAAGGTCCCTTGTGGTCTTCAGCTTACTTGGAAGCAGGACCACCCCTCTTCCCCCATGATTCTGACCATGCCCATCATGGTGCCTGCACATGGGGGTGCCAGCTGCATGTTCATGTGCACCTCCTCCTCTCTGTGCTGGACATGTGCAGGGGGTTTAGCTGTGAGCAAAGGGAATGACTGAGGCAGCAGCCTGCTGTGGGTGTGAGGGATCCATGTGGGCACAGAGTCACCAGGAGAGTGCTCTGGAACCTCTCCCATGAAAGTCTGTTCACACAGCATTCCCCTTGGGTTGAGCAGAGAGGACCCTGAAGGGGCATGGTCCATTGGGAGTGTACCTGAGGTCAAACACCAGTGTACAGGTGGCATGGGAGCCCCACAGCTCACTCCCCAAGCTTGCTTTTTCTTGACATTAAATACCACGGATCTATAGTCAGACTATCATAGAACTCAGCCCTGACATTTACTACCTTCATGACCTTGAGCAAGCACCCTTATCTCTGTGATGTATCTGTTATGCAGGGGCAGAAGCATCGCCTCTGGTTTCCTCTGTATTTACTGAGAGTAGGAAGGAAGTGAGTGAAGAGGACTTACCACATGGTTATCCCAGGGGGATTCCCAGCCCAACCTGTTTTCTTGGGTCTCTTCCTCTTATTATCAAGAGGTGCTGACTGTACACTCGCTTCCTTTTTGTCATCCCTTTTTTCAATGTCTGTGGCAGGCTTTGTCTGCTCACAGAGTCATAATCACTTGATTCCACTGCTTTGATACATCCCTTCATGTCTTGCATGAGCACACAAATAGGTCACCTGACACAAGACCTTTGCCCAAGTAAACCTTCCATGTGGAGTTCCTGGAGACTGCCTGCCTTCTTCTGTCACCAAAGGTCTCTTCTCAGTGGCAGTGGCCCTACCCCTCCCTCCTGGACTTGCTGCCTTTACATCCAAGTCAGCTTCATGTGCCCACACCTTTCTGTCTTCCTCACTGCCTCCCATCTGTTTGTTTTACTGCACTGGGACATGTCACAAAACGAGCATGTTGGCTCATTCCTCTCTGAGGTCTCAAGGGTACCACCAAGTTCCTGAGTTCTGGAGAGCAAGTCAGAAATCTAGTGTGTGAATGTGCAAGTCTGTGGAAGAGGAAAAAAAAAAGAAAACTTCATTCTGAAATCAGCAGTTTTTGAAATCTGTGCTTTTTGGAAACTGTTTTGGGTGACTTAATGCTAACGCTCCCTTCTTGCTTTAGATTTCTCTGTTTCTGACAGAGCAGCCCTCTCATCTTTCGAACACATAGCCTGGATCCTTTGCTCTGGAGTGGACAGCTGCCCACCTCTCCTGTGGCCGTCTCTTAGGTGTACATGAGTTTGGGGAGCCAGCCAGAACCATCACCTTGAATATGCATTATTAAATCTATGTTGGGGATGTATATCCAAATGCAACTCAGTCTTCAAACATGTGTGCTAGGAAGCCTGTGGAATCTGTTGTCTCTTGCCATTTAAATTTGCATAATTACAGTATTTTCGCAAAACTGGTAAGAGTTAAGGGAAACTTCAATCTCTAATTTCTTTATCAGTGATGAATTTTTCTGAAGTGTTCTGTACAGACTATGTGATTCCACAATTCACCCTGTAGGATTTTAAGAAATAATATAAGTACAAATGAAATCCTAAATTCTCATTTGATTTTTTTTGATGCAAAGCATATGAAATATTTACCCATTGCTTCAGCACTCCTTTACTCAGTACCGGGCACTTCAGTGTCAGACACTGTGCCAGGAACAGGGGCTTTTGTGACCCAGCCAGGCCTCTTTCTGCCATGGTCACAGGTCTGGGCAGGCCAAATGTGCAACAAAAGTTAATAGTAAATATGTTAAATGCTACAAAAATCATGTTTTAATTGGGTAACCATACTATTATAAATCCCATAGCTTTAAAAACTTACAACAACCAGAAAGTTCTCTGAGTGATTGACCTCTACAGATAAAAGGGATTTAGTGTAATTATTGCATTCCTGGTAATGAAAAGTCCCAGAGGCCTTCATAATATGTTCATGTGGAGTGGAAATGAGTTATGTATACAAAAGGCGAGGCATCTATGCACATAGAGTGTATGAGGCCCCTAGATGCTGGGACAAAGATGGAGTTTGGATGAAGTCAGCAGAGGATTTGGCTTTACATGTCATTTACTCCTAGTCTGCAGCCTAAACTTTGTGAGCAAGGGAGTGAAAGTGAGATGATCTCAAGCAGGATATTTGGAAGGCACACACTTGTGAACAGTTCAGATTGATAGCCTGAGTCTCCTTACCCTGAGAATGCTGAGTCATCGCCGATGGCATAGAGATTTCATTTCTCTTACCCTTTTTTCTGCTAGGTTTCACCTCCACATACAACAGTTCCACCACAAGGTTAAATGTTTAAATATCTGTCTTGGGTGGAGACAGGTAGAGCAGTCCTGGGCCTGACTCTCCCGATGACACAGAAGGTTGTGGAAGAATCAGACAGAGACCGAAAGCATAGAAGCAAAGTTGTACTTTTATTCAGCAAGCATGCAAGAGTACAGCTGCCTTCTCTCAGAGACACAGGCAGGCGTGCCCGAAACGGAGCCACCATTGAAGGGGGCTCAAGATGCTGGTTTTATAGTAGTTGGGGCCTATCTTGGCTCTGGGCTGAAGATGCCCCTACTTGATTGGTTAATGATTAACTTAGCTCCTTATTGGGGACAACAGGGAAGGGTCTTTTTAGGAGCCTTTTATATCTTAGGGCCAAGGTTTTTTTCCTTTTGATCTTAGCAAACCAAGCTTTGTAGGGTACAGTGTGAAGAGGAGGTGTAACCACAGACTGTTAGCTTTTTATGGGTGGTTAAGACTGTTTTATCAGCTATCTGAACTCCTTTAGCAGGGGTGTGGGTGTCGCTCATCTCTCGCTGCCTGTGGATCTCTATCCCTACATATGTAATATCAGAGTAAGGAAGAATGGTGGACCAATTGCTTTTGTAATAGCCTCATGTTTGCCTTTATAGCAGGGGTTTTATGAGTATTACATTATTTTGCACTGAACAGTCTTATGAGGTGGGTATTAACATCACTGTTTCACAGATGAGCAAACTGAGACCCAGAATCTAGTTGAGTAACATGCTCAGGAATAATGCTGTTATGAAGTGGTGACATTGAGACAGAGGCTGTCATAGAGACAAAGGCACTTACACTTTCTAGGCCTTCTGTACATGTATGCTTCTCTACCCCTTCATTAGCTCATACATTTTTATTAGCCTGAAATCCTGGGATGCCTTTGTTATAACCCTTCCAAGAATAGACTAGACAAGGGAATAAAACTTAGAGACCACCACAGAGGGACAGAGGACAAACTAACTCCTGGGCCCTTAACCTGTTACTCATTAAAAGCATGAATTATCTTTTCTTTTCAACCAGTCAGGGACTTAAAAGCTGCTTTTTGCTAAAAAAAAGTGACTTTACTTGGGGCTAGAGGTACCCAATAACTAAAAGCAGCATAAAGCTTGGCGTGTCTGCTTTCATTTTTTATGTCTTCTTTATCATCTTAAAATTTTAGCCCAAAACTCTGCTCAGCTCTGCATGTAGGCATGTCAATAAGCCAGGGAGTATGGAGTATCTGTCTACAAACTAATAACACAGGTTTCATTAGTCTTAAATTTACCTAAGCTACTGTATCTCATACCCCTTCAAGACTGTGGACACCAAGATGAGAGTAACTACAGTATTTTCAAGATTTGCAGGGATATTCAGGTGCCATCTTTTACAGCATACAGACCCACTGGGGTGGTGCCTAGAAGGTACCAGTCATGCCCTCAACCTGCAGTTACCTTGGATTCCAACAGAGCCTCTGCAGACAGATAACCCCATGAGGAGACCCCCCTAAGCAGAAGCAGTGACCCCAGGTGGGAACTGGGGCTGCCTGCCCCAAACGGGAGCAGTCATCTCATGGAAATGGGATTGTCCCCTCAGTGACAAGGACTTCTCTGCAGATACCTTGCAAAACCAGAACTGAGGTAATGGTCAGCCAGACCCTAGTGCAGCCCAGTAGCCCCAAGAAAACATTTCCCTTCCTTTGCCGAAGGGCTGCCCTGATCTCCATCAGTTCCGTGCACCCCTCAGCTCTTTTGCCCCTCCAGCTGAAGCCTCTTCCCATGTGCTCTTCCTCTCTGATTAAACCTGTGCCTGCCTTCTCAAACTTCTTGTCCTGGTTTTTAATTTCCATTATCCCGGAGTCTGAGGACCCGTGTTACGATACCAGTCCTGGCATCTTGATCCATGTCTCCTCTCAGACCAAGTTACTCACTATCCATTAAGTGAAACAGAGGAACATTTTTACCGGTTTGTCTTTTTTTTTCCTCCCCACCTTGATTATATAAGCCTGCAATTATGTTTAGCTGTGGAAACTCAAGCAAAACCTTCAAGCAGAATACTGAGTATAAAGTTAGCAGCCACATTTTCCAACGGGCAGAAGGGGCAGAAGGTAAGAAATGAAGTGTAAGTTTCTACTGGTGGTGTTTGCTTTGCTTTTCAGTTCTACTTTTGTGGGACAGTGAAGAATCTGAGATTGAACATTTTCTTCTTGTTTTCTTTGACCATGGATATGGGGGTGGGTAGGTGCTGGTAGGCGGGGGTAGTCAGAAGGGGTTATTTATTAAATTGCTTCCAATTGGAAAGTCTCTGCTAAAATTCTGTTAGTGCCATTTTCAGCCCCATTGTACTTTAGATTTTTAAAACATCTCTGGAAATATGGAAATTGGATTGTTTTATATCAAATTAAAATCGTGTCTGTCTAACAGTGTGCATTATATTCTCTATAAATATTGCATTTTGACAACATGAGCGATTACAAAAGAATCAATAATCAGAAAAACCTTTTAAGTTCTTGCACGAAAAGCAATTAGTGTGGATTGATTTATTGTTATTTATTGTGATGAGATAATTGCCTCAACGCAAGCCATCTTTGAACTTGTGATACCCCCTGGTTTAAAAACATTTATTCTTTTAAATTTTTTAATTTGTCTCTGGCCTTATTTTAAAACCAAGATAGCTTTGTGCTTATTAAGTGATGTGAAGCCTGGCCTTTTCTTTCTGCATCTTTACCCCAGACTTACTTCTTTTCCTGTTTTGACTAACTGTGGCTGGAGCTATGTCCCAACCGCTTGCTTTTGGGTTTGAAAATCCTTAAGAGATAGGAAAAAAAAAATCATAAGAATTTTCTACTCTAGTATGAATAGTGCCAAGTGGACTTTCTCTTGAGACTTCTAGCTTTTGAGAGAAAGTCTGCCTCAATTGTACTTGCCCATGGGGACAAAAAGAAGGGAATGATACTCATATTCACAGTGATATCCTGTAACCATCAGCATTACCTTGAAATCTTTAGGAAAAACATCTTTAAAGGCTAACATTTGGGAACACAAGCCATGAAAAGCTGCTTTCCTCCTTTTGTTCTTTTGTGTGTGTGTCTTTTCATCTCTCTTTGCTTCTACCTCTGTGTTTTTCTTTCCACTTGGCTGTCCCCTGTGACTCTGCATGATGAGCCTCTTTGTGTACATGTCATTTTGGGGCTGACAGGTGTACCCCCCCACACACCCTGGTAGTTCCATGTGCTTTGTTCCTACTCTCCACTGACCTCAGGGTAGAGAAGGAGGTGAACAGGGGTATTACAGATGCAGATGTTCTTTGGGAATTTCCCTTATGAGCATCACTATATGTCTTATGAATATGTGTATTTTTCTTTTTTCAGTGACTCCTGTCCCAGGCCAAGTTGCAAATGTAATTTGAGCTGTTGGTCCAGGGAGACCAATTTTCCTCTTGCTGTACGGTGGGGAGCCTCATGTGGCTCTGTTGAGTGACTCACACAGTGCGCACACTGGGGATGTCCACTGTCCATCTGTGAAATACTTCAGTCTCAGCCTGGGTCATCAAGCAGGACATCCTGAGAAGGACATGAGTTTTATGGGGTGACCCTGGGAGGGTAGTGGGTCTTGGGATTCAGAAGTTCAGTGTGATGAAATTTCTCCAAGTAGAAAAGAAGTTTCTCAGGCACATTAACATTAAGTAGCAAGGTTAGCCCGACAGATAGCCATCAGGAGTTATGCTTTTGCATGTTTTGTTTTAAGAGTCTCTAATACCCAGTTTTCCTCTGGCCACAGTGGGCCAGGTATAAGACATGGCATCTGCCCTCAGGAAGCTTTATCTGCCTGGAAGAGATAGGCTAGACTCCTGCTAGAGGATGTAAAGGCAGTATTTTCTAGAATGTGTTCCATGGGATGTTGGCAGGTGTCATATGGTAGAGACACAATGTGTACTGATTCTCAATTTATTTGACCAGTCAACCCTCTTCCCTTTTGCCAAGTGCCCCTCCCAGCACTTAGGTTTGTGCAACAGATTTTGGGAAATACTGATTATCAGAGAGCCTATAAACAGAGAAAATGGTGTAAGAGGTAGTTTAGCTGTTTAGCTCATAAGTAGGCAGCTAGAAAGGGACAAGGCCAAAGATGGAGCCATGCTCATCAGCCTTATAAAAAAAAATATAGCACGTAGACAGGGTTAAGGGTTAACTGAAGCTGTGTAGATCACTAAGCTCAGAAATGTAAAAGCAAACACGGGGAATTGATCACTGTAACTGACCCCCACCCCCTCCCTGTTACTCTAATCTCCTTATATTCACAGCAAGATTGCTGACTGGCCTGGCCAGAGTGCATGATGAGTGCATGACCACTGTGTGCTCTATTTCTCTGTTGTCATCTTAGAACATAGGCAGTCCATACTCACATTCTATAGGCTAAGCCACCTTTACCTGTTATGGCCAGAGACCGGACCATCTGGATATAAAAGACCCTAAACAAAGAGGCAATTCTAGCTACACTTTTTGGAACCCTTCTGACTTCTAGGAGCTTCCTTTGTTCTTGTACTTCCAAAAAACACTCCTCTCAACTACCTCCTTTGTCTGAAATTTTATTCTTCAATTTGGTCAGACACCAGCCTTATTTGGACATTAAGAATAGTATAGTAATTCCGGTAGCTTCTGACCATTGTCAGAGGTAAAGTGCAAATCTCATAGATTGCTACAAGCACCTGCCAGCATGGCTGAGGCCCCATCACGGCCTCAGCTCCATACCACCCAGTGCAGCCTGCACGGCCTGCGCTGCACTCTCCCCAGGCTCAGCCTGCACCTGCCCTTGCACTTCTTGCTGGACTTAGCTCTTGCATGGTGCACCAGCCTCTCACTTGCTCTAGGTCTTGACTGCAGAGCTTTATTTTGTAGCCTTATTGACATCTGGCAGATGATATGTTCTCTTGTTTATGAAGCTAGAACATAAACTCAGTGAGACACTGTGTTTTAGTTTTGTTCACTCTCAGCATGTAGGCAGCACTTAATAAATGCAGTGGTTCCTCTATTCATGAACTTGATTATTTCCATCATTCTGGTCCCAGACTGAGTTGGATGAGAACCAAATCAAATGGTTAGGTTCAGTGTTGACCTTATGGGGAAATTTGATTCTGTTCTTGTCTAGTTCAGTTTGGAACCAGAATCATGAAGAGAACTGAGTTTCTGAACTATGTACTTGTTTTGGGAATGAATGAGAAAGACTAGACTGTAGAACTTTAGTGTCATAGATTCATAACAGCAGTTTTGGGGTGTGGGGAGGAATCTTGAGCTCCTTCCAGAGCCCGGGATTCAATGAATCTTTCTTTCTAGAGCCCTCTGGGCCATTCACTGCATTCTCAGTTCATTGTTCTCTGTCATTATTCTTGGTTCTTTCTTAGTACATGACTTGCAACTCTCAGTTCTTCCTTCCCTCCTTGGAGTATGTGAATGCCTTAGAAGTGAATCACTATGTCCTGGGGAATCAGCAGGGTTCATAGGGCTTTTTAAAAATTTAGCCATTGTGGTGTGTGAGGCCCTGGTTGATGCCAACAGACCACAAAAAGAAGCTCGGCTCAGCTTACTCAGCACTGATGCTTAGCAAAGAGCAAGTGTAGTTATCTGTGTGTTATTTTCCTGTGTTGAGTGTAGTAACCCTTGCTTCATTATTGTGTTTTGTTCAAGAAATCTCAGTGGTGATTCTTGTAAAAGGATGTGTGTGTAATCTGTTTCTGGTATGTTATGAACATTTATAGAAATGCAGTCATGATTGGTCTTTGGTTTTGCAGCGGTGTTAGCCCTCTTTGACCTGCAGTTTTTAGAGGTGGCTGCGGGAAGCAGATATCTTCCTAGGCAGTTCTGGTAGTGGTGGAGGGGTTGGTGTACAGAGCCAGGTCCCCTAGTTGGGAATAGGGAGGGCCAGGGAAGAAATGGTAGATCATACTATGAGAAGATTAGATGCCAGAGATACCATTGTGAAAACAATGCCATCTTGTTGATGCTGTGAGAGTCATTGTCTGCTTTCATTACACCAATGAATCCAGGTTCCTCCCTTGATCTCTTCCTCTATTGTAGCAAATGTAAAGGTGAAAATTCTCAAACTCCAAATGCACATTTTTTTTTTCAGGTGAAAGGGAATACCATTTGTTTTGTTCCTTTAGATCAGGTGATTTGCACTGAATTTCTATGTTTGAACAATGATAATAATTTGACGAATCTTTCTGTATGCAGGCTGCTCTGTTTATATTATCACTAATCCTTCTGATAAAATGAGCAAACCACCCCAAGTTTACATAGCTGGTAAGTGGCAGAACTCTAATCCAGTCCAAGTTTATCTGCCGTCAGAAACCCTTGACAATCAAAGGCCATGTGAAATGTCCCAGGCCACAGACCTCTTAATGGCAATCTCTGGAGAACCTGTCCCAGCAGCATCTATTCTGACTCTGTTGTTCCTGAAATAAAATCCAGGTGACACTTCAGTTCGAAGCTGTCACATCACCCTTTTCTTTCCAGGCTCTTATGAGAAGAAATTATCTCATAAGTCTCAACGGTAACTGAATCAATTGTGGGATGGAAACAGTGCCAAATTCCAAGTTCTCAAGAACTTAGACCCTGAGCTACCCCTGGTCCAGCTACATCCTTCTCAGAGGGACTTTGTGCTAGCTTGCGTTTTAGGGGATTGATGACTACTTCAGACATTAATGAAAAAAACTCCATCTTCGTGTTGAGTTTTTTCAGCTGCAGAAGCACTCCCATAAATCTTATAGGTGTCCTATCACCAAAGCCCCAGGGAAGCACTTGCATAGTCCAGTCCCATCCCTCTACCCATGTAACTTGATTTAAGTTTGGCAATGCTAGAGTTACACTGAAGATTTTCTTTGAGCCCGTCACTCCTGGTGCAGTCTCCCTTTTGGACATTTTGGACTGTGGTGGATGTGTTAGAATACACTTACAGTATCAGTGCAGTTTTTATCACATAGGTGAAAGGAAATACACTCAAGAACAACTGTGCATGGACAGCTAGAGGCATTGTTGTCCTGTGTGTTATATGTAATAGTGACTACTGCTTGGGTCCTCTGTTATTCTAGGTATTTCACCTAAGTTACCTGTCA